GTATTCATCAAGCATATGAATACGCTTGTTAACCTCTTCTTTGCCTTTAGCGATAAGGTACTCTACTCCCTTAGGTCCAAAGATAGGGAGCAGCTTCTGTAACCCTTCCTGTTGTGCTTGTGACAGGCCAACCGCTGACATCTCATCTATGTCCATTCTCAGACAGAGAAGTAGTCGCAAACCCAGGTGCGGGATTGACTACAAGTGCTACCAGTTGTAGCGAGCTACTGTAGCCAAGATAATTATGCACTATGTGTAGAGGAAGACAAGCTCAGAGAGCTTCTACGTCTTAGGGTGTTTAACCCTTATTAAGCTAGCTTGTAAGCTTGTGCCTATCGGTTGTTGTAACCGTGTCGCAATGAGACCAGTATCAAAGATACTTAATTCCTCAGGAGGAATAGAATGCTCAAGCAGTGATGCTTATAGAGCAGTTTTGAAACGGATTTATATTTATGTTTATCTTCTAACACTAAATACAGAAGCACCTACTCGATACTTAGTGCTAGTCACTATTACTGACTCTTTAGCCTGTTATTATTATGCAAATATGTATTGTCACTATACTTTAAATAAGTATAGTGACCACGTGGCTCTCTGCCACGATGCGACCCTTCGTAATTCAGGTAGTACGGTCACATCACCTACCTTTGTACCTAAGGTACAGCTACACCACAATGGTGTGGCAGGTGTGTATGTACAATACACACCTTAGTGTAACCCCGTTACACAATTCATGTCTATTCCATCTTTATATCTCCCAGAGGCTTAATACGTTGCTTTCTGTTGCAGACAACCATGTAAGCGCCGTGGAAAAGCCCGTCACGAATATCATGGCTGCATTGTTACATTGTAATGTTGCCAGCTAGATCGAGACGAGATAATCGAAAAGAACCTTAGCTAAGATCACGATAACTATTTCCATTGGCTTACACCATGTAGGCCAGTAGGGTTCTGACGGTGCGACTATTGGCGTGTTCAATCTGAATGTGACACCACTTTGTCAAATACCTCAGCTGTTTCTAATTAAGCTGCCGTGCGGTCTTCACGGACCGAGCCGGGAATGTCAAACCTTTTGAGCGCAGGTGGACGGAGCGTTGAGATACTATGTTACAGCGAGCGCCCCTACGATAGAAAAAGTGCAGCTAATGACGCTCAAACATTATCGGTGTTGCGATACGTGAGAACAGATCTAAAAAGCCTCAAATACTTATATGGCTGCATTTAACAGTGCAAAGGCGGCCAGTTACCAGCTCAAAGCATCGAAAAAGAGAGTGAGCCCAAGATGCACTTTAACTTTGCGCCAAGGGAAACACGGGCAACACGCCACCAGGATTATGGGACTAGATCACAGGCCAACGGTGGTCTTATCGGCATCTTACTCTGAAGGAGGTTGCAGAGGATCGCAATTATTTTTCGACACTTGCTTGGATGAAGGTCTTCGGCTGAGACCTTTGGTAAGATTGTTTGGCTTAGTATCGTAAATATAATACATTCATCAAAAGATAAACTTAACAAAAGAGTTAACGAAGACACTTAATTAAAAGACCAGCAGCTGTGTGAGATCGTGTTAACGAAATGTTTTTGCTACTTGATCGAACAGGAAAAAAATAAACGCAGATTTCTACCCTGACAGCTCTAACGAGACCCACTCGATCACGAAAAATGTCTGAAGAGCTAGATTAGTGCTGCTTAAGCACGCAGGAAGCGCACGTAATGATCTCCAGTCGTCGCGTCGGCGCTATTAACGGAGTTCCCATCAGTTGCTAACTTGGGAACAATGGAATCCTTCGCCTCATCTTCGATTCCATTAGTAGACGTGTCAGTCATAAGGAGCGTAGGGCCATCGCCGGGACACGGGGTGGCTTCAGGCTTCGCGACATCAAATTTGTTGGTCTCAAACGTTTTGGCCTCAGGCTTTTGGTCCTCAGACTTATGATCCTCATCCTTGTTGTCCTCAGACTTGTGGTCCTCAGACTTGTGATCCTCATCCTTGTTGTCCTCAGACTTGTGGGGTCCTCAGACTTGTGATCCTCATCCTTGTTGTCCTCAGACTTGTGATCCTCAGACTTGTGATCCTCATCCTTGTTGTCCTCAGACTTGTTGTTCTCATCTTTGTTGTCCTCAGACTTGTGATCCTCAGACTTGTGATCCTCATCCTTGTGGTCCTCAGACCTGTGATCTTTATCCTTGTGGTCCTTTGACTTGTTGCCCTCAGGATTCTTAGACGTCGGGTCGTACTTGTACTCCAATGGCGGGCACGGAGCGCTCTCACTTGGGCTCAGCGGTGTTGTTGAGGGCGGGTGAACAGCGATTGAGAGTAAAGAGGATTTCGGGTCATGAGAAGGACCACCGTCCGTTTCAATAGACTTCTCGTCGTCAGGATTGTTTTATTGATTTACCAAAGTTATGGAGTTTTCGTTTACTTGAAGATGGCTTACAGCTGGGGATGAAAACCGAAAAGTGAGTTGTATTTTGAATGGTTTGTTATCTCAAAACGAATGGCCATAAGAAGCCGGTGATTTTCAGCCACCGATTTGTTGCTCTGTCTGTACCACAGGTAATTACTCCCTGTAAATACCTATAGTAAGAACTCCACTATAGCCTATGCAGAACAAAGTTGATTGCGTGGGATTGGGGACGTAGCCTCGGGTAAGTCAAGGCTCTGGTGAATCCCGAACGCCAGGTTGTAGGTGTCATCCACAATTAACTTTCACCACGGCCGTGCTTGAACCCGTACCAGTAGCGTGGAATCGTCCTTTCCAAACGACTAAGCCATTAAGCACCTTGGCACTGTTATGCAATTTTAATCTATAACTAACTGCAATACAACTCCACAACATGTAATATATACATCCTACACACGTAGCCGCAACATCACTCTTCAACATGTTTTTCGTCAGTTGGGATGGAGAGTTTTGTTTTGTTGACTCTGCCATTTCTGCATTTTTATTGCTGTCATTGTGTGTATACGCGTCGTTGGTAACTTCGTTCAAGTAGGCATCACCAAAATTAATCACTGCGCCGCCGCCCTCACCAAGGACAACCTGTGTTGCAATGGCCGGGAAAAAATTGTCGTGTACATTTTTATAGTAGTTGTTTCAATAGCAAAAGCAGATAAAAATTAGTTTTAATTAGAATGATATTACCAACCGGGTCGGAAGTGTAGTTGTTGTTGGAAGCAAATTAGAGAATGCCAAAACTAAACAGGCTATTTGTTTTTCGACGTAAGGCATCATTGCATTTTTACGATGCACAGGAGCTGCAGGAAGCACGCAATCGTGCCATTGCTTTTTTTATCCTATCATCATATCTTCTCTCAACTTGTTGATCTCACTATACTAAACACAACTTTATGTATAGACAACAGTGTACGGACGACTTTCACGTCACTGACTCTCAATTTCTACTGCAAGCAGTGCCTTTAAAGACCGCCAAATTTTGACACGTGGAACTGATGATCATATGTTACGTGTCGAACTTACGTCACTCTTAGGCTTTGTCCAAGTCGGGATTGGCTTTGTACAAACAAGAGGCCATAAATAAGCTTTAAGGTAGAAGCAGGACAAACAATAGTTCTTTTAAAGTCCGTTCGTCAAAGTGGTGAGACTCAGGTAACGGGTAAAATCCCCACGCGCCGTGGTGCGGAACTTGACCTATAGAGTCTCGAGAAAGGCTTAATCCTGGCGACCACATGTGCATATCGTTCGCTCATACCTTTGCTATTTATGGTCAGAAATCTAGATTGGGACGATCCGCTACAGGTGTGAACCCTTGCGAACATCACTCGTACGCTTTCATGTATTGGCGTGTCGCCGCCATCTGTACCTTCGCATGTACGCACTTTTACAGCCCTATACTTACAATCACCCGCCGCTGTGAGCAAACGACATGCACGCAATTGCCAAATGAATCACGACCAGCTTTAACGACTACTCAGCTCTCTTTCCTCTCACTCTTGCTCTTGCTACTGCTCTCGCTCTCGACAATACGACAATACGACAACACGCTTCGAAGGTTTTGATGCCAATGTGGCACGGTGTACAAAATCGTGTTTAATAGACGGACACGTAAAAGTTTGCACATAAATTTGAACCTCATCACGATTTTATCTTCCTTCGCCTTAAATGGGACAGCTGAAAGCATTTGTACTTTTTCTTTTGTGCACAATTGGGGATGGACTGCCTAACTACGAAATAGAGACAATTTATGTTTCTGCCGTCTTATTAAACATAATTAAGCCGCTGTCGTTTGTCGAACAATCATTTTAAAAAGTACGCTTTGAAGTAGACATGACCTCGCATGTCCCATCAATCCGATAACACTGCATATTTTTCTCAGCGCATCATTTTGAACCCCGATTAGAAGTACAAAGTATACTTTGCAAAATGAATCTATTTGTTCCTTTCTGTACTAGTTTCAGTAGTTATTTTTGATATTAAAAACTTCAGTTGTAACAGATTCAAGTAAATAATACAAATTTAGAAGACGGTAGCAAATGGGACAGCAAGTTTAAGGAACGTACATTGGCAGCAGCGACATGACGCAGAATGCAGATGTAACGTTAGGGGTATAAGTTGCGCAGAAGTTGCTTATGTATAACGACATTTTATGGTAAATATTACAATTTAAAACAAAATGTATATATTTTTTGGCTGCAGAAGATTGAATAAAATCAAGAAAACTAATCAAACGGCAGTATGGAGCTACTTAATAAGATCTGTCTTTTTGGCGCTTGCCATTGCTTCTACACGCAATCAGCAGCGGCTGGTGCAGCTTATTGCTATGCAGCTGTATTAGCTTATACACTTTCAGTAAGTATTCAGCGCTCTCGACTAGGTGAGCATGGACATGCAACACATTTACTACCAGTCAAACGCATGCGCTGGTTTCCAACATTTTTGAGTTTTGCGTATTTTTCACGTATTACGTGGCTTGTTTTAAGTAATATGCACATGTTTCAATGGGTTGAAGGTTCTTCACCTTGTTTTCATTATGAACATATGGTCTTTGTTACACCATTATTACCTACCGATATTGATATTTACGTGTTAGGCGTGACATCCTTTGGAAAATTGGCTACACTACTTTATTTCTCAGCATTTACATTATTACTTCGTTTTTGGGAGGATGTAAGAGCTCAAGCACGACGAGCTGAGAAACCACTAGCTAGAGTAGCTGCGAACCAATCAGTTATTGCAGAATATACACGCGGAGCGGGAGCACAGCGTTCTGGTCGGTCACGCAAACTTTTTCTCGTGGCTAATGTTTGGATTTATCTAGTTGAATGTGCTATACTTGTTTTAAGGACGCTTTTTCCACGGGAAAAGATGGTGCTTTTTGAGATTGAGTATGGATTTATGGCGTTGTGCTTCTTCCTACTATCTATCATGCTGGCAAAGTGTGCACTGCAGCTGCGCGTCGTGCTACTTAAGATCGAGTTTTCTTCCTTGGCTGCGACTATTGCGACGAGATTGTCGCTCATTGGTGTCGTGTCTTCATTCCTTTTCTTCTACCGCAGTTTGCTACTGCTTTTTTCCATGCCGGCCATTGACGTCTTTGACCCACACGTGTCCAATTCGTGGCTATTTTATGCCATTCCGGAACTCATTCCAGGGGCATTGGTAATATACATGATGAACGTCAAGAGACAATACCAGCTGACTCCACTTGCGTGGGGCATTACAAAGGTAGACGAACAGACGCCGCTACTGCAGGAGCTAAGAAGACAGCCTTGCGACCTACCGCAGTTCCGCGGCCAAGAATTGCACATCTAAGTGATGCAAAATGATTGTGTTCTACACTTCTGTACTTATACTGATACACTATTTGGAGACTTAACTACTCTTCAAGGTAATAAAACCTCACCTTACTCGTTGCTATACGGCTTGTTCCAGACCCGACAGCTTAACACCTCGTCGACAGGACAGCCTGCGAGCAGACTTATTGGATCGGTCTCACCATTTGGCAGCATGCTATATAACACTACCACCTTACGCTTTTTTTGGAGTCACGTTAATACCTTGAGTACAGCCTTTTTTGGACGAAGGTGGAGGAAGACCACCAGAACGAGAAAAGTCGGTGTGTCCGATCTTGTACTACAACCCGTAATCATACGATTTTAGTAGTTGTGCTCGATTTTCTCCAGCACATCAGGAGAATGGCGATGCCGGTCGAGATTGAAAAAGTCCACGTGCAGATCGTAATGCTGGGTGTGCATATAGCGCAGCATTTGGACGTCCTCCTGATGGCTTAAAGGCACTTTGGCAAGATCGGCTGTGCGTTTGTCGATATATTGCACCACAGCGTGACTCAACGACTTTAACCAGTGCCTCGTGCTCGTGCGTAGTTTGAAGCTTAGATATTTTTCTGGCCATCTTGTAAGACGATGTCAGACGACTCCAAGTGTGGTATTGACAACTTCAAAACGACATCGATATCGTCGTCTCGGAGAAAATCTTCTACGCTAAATATAAGTGGTGTCATGCTGATTGTCTCCAGTACCAAATCACCACGACATAATGTGTTTTCACGATCACTTCGACGCTACCATGTGAGAAAACTTCGCTTGTTGTAACCGTTTACTTGTATGTACTTACTTTTGTGGCCAACGCGAACACCTGGCCAATGAATTGGCCGCCCTCAAATATAAATACGACTTGATTATGCAGTGCATTAATGTCTTACACCAGCCTCACTCCGTCTGAAGTAAAATATGCGGATGATTGCTTATGTTTCTGAGCTAATTCGTCGCTCGGCTTTGCAATTTGCAGTAGTTCTTCTTCTGCTGCATGCAAAAAGCTCTTAAATTCTTTTGTTGTCTTTACTGACGATTGGCATGCATTCCATTCTTAAAGCTTGTGACGATCAACCTGCAAAAGACATATTACAACCTCTTGCGCTAAAAAAAAGTCTTCGCGTTTACCAATACCAACAGATAACGCACGTGTCAGTCGTTGTCGGTTCAATGCAAAGGACGTAATCCCCCTTAACTGGCATGACATCCGTCAAAAATTAGTGTGCGTCCATACAATATACTGCATCAGTCAACGTGGTCGTCTGCAAAGCATGTTGCTTTACAAGATATAGAGCTTTTGTGTAACGGGGTTACACGAAGGTGTGTCTTGTCCATACACACCTGCCACACCAATGTGGTGTAGCTGTACCTTGGGTACAAAAGTAGTTGATGTGACCGTACCTAAAGTACGAAGGGTCGCATCGTAACAGAGAGCCACGTGATCACTATACTTATGTTAAGCATAGTGACTATACATGTTGCATAATAACAACAGGCTATAGAGCCAGTAAATAGTGACTAGCACTAAGTATAGAGTAGGTGCTTCTATATTTAGTGTTAGAAGATAAACATAAATATAAATCCGTTTCAAACCTGCTCTATAAGCATCACTGCTTGAGCGTTCAATTCCTCTTAAGGAATTAAGTATCTTTAATACTAGTCTCATTTGAGACACGGTTACAACAACCGATAGGCACAAGATTATGAGCTAGCCTAGGAGATTTAAGCACCTTAAGACGTACAAGCTATCTGAGCTTGTCTTTCTCTGCACATGGTGCATAAGTAGCGTGGCTACAGTAGCTTGGCTACAGTGGCCATTCCTCCAGGTCAGCTGTTGCAACTGTTCTTGATCCTCGTTCAATGGCACACTTGATCGCCCACTTAAATTTTATCAATAGTAACTTTCGTTGTGGGCGTCACGTTTAATGGTAGGATCGCCATGTGTTGATCCGCATCTTCCGAAATTAATTCGCCACCTTCGTGAAAGTAGAATGACTCCTGAGGTGTTTTTTTACCTGCTGTAAGTTTCCCTGTAGCAATCGAAGTTGACATGTTATCAGGTGGATCACATTGACTCTGAAAATAATATTTAAGCCTTGCAATTCACAATGTATCGCGCTCGACTTTGGTGTTATAGCAGTATAATCCGTTTGCTCAAAAGATCAATCGACGTCCACAAGTTCATTGTTAATGCTGACCACAATTCGCACTTTCGGTGAAACTGAACCCCTCACAACCCTTACAATCATTACCATGTAATTTATAATCACATACTCATCGACTAACGATGCAGCTTCCGTCGACTTTAGAGCCCTTTTTTCTTGTATTACATTATTTGGCCGACTTAATATCTTTGTGGATAAAGCATACTGCGGATGATCGACGAGCAATATATTTTCTTGATCCAACAGGATTTCCTTCTTATCCACGGTAGCCTTAAACTTAAGTGTTTGCGATCCATTATAGCACCGCGACTTAACTGAAACATTACCTGGAGATCATGTTATCAAATTATCAGCCATCCACAGACCAAAAACTAATCCTAGTTGAAGCATCACCTTTCGCTCACTATTGTTCGTCAGATGCAGATATTAAGTAAAGCCGGGTTCTTTCGTGACAGCTGGCACCCATTCGGGATCGAGTCTTACTCAAAGCTTAGCCATTAGTGGGCCCATCCGAATCCTCTCGTCTGCCGATCTACTCAGTGAATAACCACATGCTGATTGTTCACATTAATTGCCCTCACAGTGGATCAGTACGGCGGTCTTCGTCCTGCCAGATTAAGTCGGACTCTATCCGGCATACAAATTGGTCTTTCTGCCAATTCCAGACGTGTTCTAGCTGGAACTTTGGAGCCCATACCTAGGATTGCCTCTTTATAAACCTGATCGCCAACCCAAGCAATCAAGTAATACATGAGAGATCCGTTCAGCGTGAAATTGATTTTAGTGCGTCCCTCCGTCATATACATGCTCTCACCAATTCCCATATATTCCTGCGTCTGGCTCTCTTCATAACACATCCCACCCAGCAAAGGCTGTGTCGACGATCGAGACTTCAGCTACCGAATCAAAAAGAAAAGTGGCTCTTTTGTTGTTAATCTTTCCAACAGCTTTGACTTGCGTATATAATTTGTTAGGGTATGAAACCTCCAATATCCAACGCCAAATCAAGCTCCATACTAGTGGGTGATAGTGAAAATTTATTAACTCGTTTCAAACTTGACATGGCGCTCAAACTATTTGAATTAAAGTCACATGTATTATTTTTCGGGATCATTACCGGTCCTTTTAGTGATCCGATCAGTTTTGAGCGTAATGACATCAAAAATGGATCAATAAATAAGATTGCCTTTTCATTTTACGGTGAAAATCCAACTCCAACTGAGTTATCAGCGAGAATTCCTCGTGATCATTGCAAAGGTCACCATCCTTACGAGAATCCTTGCGATTCAAATATAATTATATGTCCACGAAATACATCGCGATGCACAATTAAACCACAAAAAACAAAGCATTTACATCCCTTAATCGACGAAAAACGTCAAATTCATCATTGGTCCATGGTACACACCGCGCTATCTACAATAAAACCACAAGACACATCGCGATCCATGGTTCGGTAGCAAATTTTTATCGTCAAAGTCTATAAGCTTTCAATTTTTGGTGTGAAGGCTTCGACTTCTTTTTATTTTTTTAATATAAATATTTGTATAAATAACTTTTTTTTAAGATTAACCGACAAACTTTCATCAGGTGGATCGTGTTTAGTAGCGCGATCCATCGGGGTCCCCAAAGGAGCTTTGGGAGGTGGTCGAGGTTAATCTTATCAGATCAATACAATTTTGCTACTAAGTTTTCTCGCCATCAAAGTCCCTCCCAATCTCTGAAGATTTAGGGATTTTAATTATTAATACAACGATCGCAATGATCCCTACAACCGCTATCGCTCCAATCCCAGGTTTATTCTTAGCCTTGACAACTTCATCATGAGACTTACGATGATATCCCAGTCACTAACAGATCAGAACACGCGCATTATTGTAAAAGAAGGGAAATTGCAAAATCCTTGCGCTCCCAACTTCACGCACAGGCACCCAGACGATCGACAAACGGAGGGGTTACTCCGAAAGCGTGTGCAAAAAACTCCTTCTTTACCTTGTTTACCCGTCGATAGGGCGAGTTGAACTCTTCCGGGTGGACGCTGAGTCGATGTCGGTCTTGATGTGTTTGGGAAGGTCTTTGAACACGTGAAAATCTTCCCGAGGTCGGTAGTACTTGGTGGCAGACTAGTGAGTAGTCGCCGCAATTCAACTGATATGTAGATTTTCTAACCACTTAAGCCGTCTGTAGATCTTGCCTTGATGTTTTAGCTGCGTCCAATCGCAGGATCTTGTGTGTTTAGAGCTCGTGACCCTGGTCAAACTATCCAAACTCAATTTCAGTAGAACGCGCGCGTAATCTTTAGACGTCGGAGGGCCAATTATTCCACTCGGAAGATAAGGCGAGGCGTGTACTTGATTATAAATTGAGCTCTGTGTTATATTAGCCAATCAAAAATGCAAAACCTATGACTATGCCTTTCTATCTGATAAGATATGCTAAATACCCAACCAGGCGTATCCAAAAGACCGTTTTTTCTTATAGTGGTCCAAGCCGATGCCACCTGCCGCTCGTTTCTGGATCGTCTCTTCATATAATGTTGTCCTCCATCGCAGTATCTATATAGCAATCCAGAAAAATTGATTGCGATAATGACCCACAATTAAAAGCGATCCACATAGTGATAGCGACCCACACAGTAATAGCGATTCACACATTGATCTTTTTTGGTGATCGGGATCTGGATCGAAGTCAGTGGGTGGTCCACATAGTGATAGCGATCCTTACAGTGATAGCGATCCTTACAGTGATAGCGATCCACCTTGTGCTAGTGATCCACATAAAATAGCGATCCACAAGTGATGGTGTGAAGAAGTGA